AGGATAGAATTTTAATTCATGGTATACATTATAGTAGGGATCATTCTAAAAAGGTGCTTTTATTTCAGCATATATACAGTAACCCTGGAATGGTACAACTATTTTTATACTTTTAAATCAGAACGTAGTTTTATAATGATCCTCGTATTTATGAAATAGTTAAATGAAATATTTTCTTAACTCATAGGATGTACGATATAAAACTATTTATTCTTACTTTCATTACATGATATGCAAATTAATATAACTCTGAAGAGAAATTAGCAAGTCTTAATAGTGTGTAGTTCCAGGGTAATGTAAATTGATAAAAAAAAAGAGAATAGAAATGTACATAAATTTCTATACCTTAAAGCGCTTACTTTTCTTAAAGTATACCAATAGTGCCTGAGTTTGACACTTTTCATTTTAAATATATGCTAAATAGTATCTGTCGTTTAAAAATGTCTGAGTAAAACAGTTCAACTATATGTTTGTTCCCGTGTAATGTGCAACTAACAGTAGTAATATACAATAAGTCATAATGTTTACAATTCAATATCATTCAACTTTAACACATCCATTTGGTATCAAATATTAGATACGCACAGTTTTTTGAAAAGCAAATGAAATTCACGTAACTTTGATAGTTTTTCTAAATAAAAATAGAGTTCACATCTTTGAACCAAGAGTTAGCCAATAGAACTTACGTGTTTGTAAGTTAAATTCAAGAATGCTAATGAATTGTGCATTAATCCTAAATTTCTGTATTATAATATATGNTTATAAGACTTTTCGCCTTCAGTATAAATAGACTTAGATTTACGTTACAGCTTCATTACTGTACAATCAATATAACATCGAGACTTATTGTAATTCGTGCAATTTAAGTATATGGCAGTAGAAAAGCGATTGGCAATTATATAATACGAAACAAACGACAACTTCACGTCAAAGCTGGTGTTAACGGCGCGTGTAGTTTTCCGCAGTGGTCTATCCCCTGTTTTCAATATTTAACGTTGCAAAATGTTACTACATTATTATTTTTTTCCATCGTAAATGATGTGGTGTATGTGGTTTCTTTCTTAAATTCCGTATAAATAATAATTTACATCGAGCAGTGAACTGCGATCTAACTTCAGCCTCACCTTATCAATCTCTAAGCGTAAGCGATAAAGTGAGTTTTACCGAGTTGTACGTGCCAGCGTGAAGCGGAGTGGAATTTGCGTGTGCGCGTGTTAGATTCGGAAAATGGGAAGCAACAGAATTTCGGCGGTCGGTGCATAAAATCCGTGCGGCGTAAAAAACGTTGATAAGGTAACACGAAGATAAGTGTCGAGTTTACTGTGCTATTGATAACGTCTCGTGACGAATCCAGCAGAAGAACTGTGGAACACGCACAACTGTCATTCCGTAATGGATTTTAAATAAAGTCGATCAGTGCCAGTGCATATAAAGCACACATACATATATATATATGTATACCTATGTATACGTACACGTCTGAGGAATCTCGTCGGCTATAGGATCTGCGGAAAAAAATATACCTGGACCCGTGGTCGATTTTTATCGGGACTGCTCAAGGTAGAGCCCCACTGTTCTCTCTTATTTTTCCGGCTCCTTCCTCTGGCTGGATTCACCCATAGGAGGCGCTCCTAATAATCAGTACGAAGAAGAGCGTACGAGAAGAACGATGTTGTAACTAACGGCCAAAATGGAAGAGCAAAGTGTTCACAGCAGTATCAGTGATATAAATAGTGAAGAAGCAGTTAGAACTGAACGTAAGTCGACCAACGTTGCTAGCAGCTTTTACCGCCGTGTTCACGGCCTCGTGTACATTTTTAATCGGGACGTACACAGATCGGAGCACCTGTACGAACTAACCGTACCTCACTTTTTATCGAGACTCACGCGATAATGCTCCGTTTATATCTGTCATAGAAGTATTTGGACCGCAAATATATCAAGATATCATTTCTCTTGATATCACGACACGTTCTTTTGTTACGCTTTGAACTTGACGCGGGAGTAACGAAGGAGAGAGTCAACGGTTTCCGTACGGAGTCGGCCTTGATTTACTCTCCAAAATTACATCAGGAATGAATAATTTGTCAGTTGGAAATCCTTTCGCAAAACTTTCCTGTTCGCTTTGTTACATGCTTGTTATCCGAATTTACAGCATATTTTCTACTTACGTTTGTGCCATTTTGAGGCTAATTGCATCGAGGTTAAAATAATTATCTACGTACTGTCATCCAAATTAATATTTACTGTGAGATAGTTATAAAAAAGGACTTTTTCCATTGTTTTCAAATTGGGTGCTATATTTCTTGTGAGACTGGTCGTTGTTGGTACACAAGTCTTTGTGGGTCATTTATGGTGGGCAGTAATGGCAATAAAATGGATTAGGGGTCTTGCTGCCTATTATAGGGAATGAGATTAGACCTGGGACAATAGATATTTAGACTTGGACCCTTGGCCTGTGAATATAAAACTATTGTATTCAGTGATTGTCCTGCATTATACTTATGAATCAGGACCCAAACTTGAGTCATAACCATGTTTATTATTTGAACTCTATTGTTTACAAAAATTTTAAGTTGAAAACAACTAGTTTATTATTATTCTACATAAATGCAAAAAATAAAAAATTGCACGATGTCTAAAAATTGAACTAAAGAAATATAAATTCTACATTTTAATTACAGTAAACTCGATTAATTACATAAATAACTAAATAAATAATTAAATGAAAATAAAATATTTAGTACATCCAATTATTTGTATTTCAGCTGTGATTATACCAAGAAAGAAAAGGATATGTTTGATTGGTGCAGCTGGGGATGATCCTGCACTTGGTGCCACTGCTCAGCAGTTTAGTGTACCTGTTCTGAAATCTGCAACTGGTTTAGAATACGTAGAAGACACGACGTACTGTACTTATTTTATATTGAAAAGTTTCGAGGGACCTGAGTACGATGCTCTTCACAAAAGTGCTCATAGGTTTGTCACATTTAATTTCGTTTACGATGCAATAAAAAAAACACTCAAAAGAATGTGACTGTTGCTTGGTTTAATGTAACATATTTTAGAATATTGGGACCGACCGCGCTCCTGCAGTTGGCAGAGAAAAAGGAGCCACTACCTAGTATTAACAGACCAATGTATACACAAGCCATGGTAGGGACGGTAGTAGTGTTTACTGGGTTTAGAAAAAAGGATGAATTGGTTAGTTTCAACTTATTATTCTACAGGACATATTTTAGCGAATTTCCACAATTCGAAGCAATAATTTTGTTTGTAACGTTGCAGACCAAGTTAATCAATATGATTCACAACATGGGTGGGAGTATTAGAAAAGAAATGGGCGCAAAAGTGACACATCTTATTGCTAATTGTTGCGGTGGAGATAAGTATAGGTACGCTGTTACATTTCGGGTCCCTATTATGTCGATGGAGTGGGTAACAGCACTATGGAATGCCAAAGACAATGTTTCCAGTTATGGAAATAATGAGGAATTGGTAACAATTCTAATGATTTTCTAATTATTTGCTTCAATTGAGTTTCTCAAGGATAAAGAATTCTATTGAAGCTTCCACTTTTATTCAGATCACAAATTATAAGTTGAAACCATTTTTCGGTGCAAGAGTCTGTTTTTTTGGTTTTCCTGAAGAAGAAAAGCGTCATATGTGTGAGGTTCTGCAACAACAAGGCGGAGAATCTACGGACATTGACGATCCACATTGTACTCATGTGGTAAGCCTGCATACTACAACATTTCATAGGACATTCTATATTTCATTTTTATATCATTCAACATATAACACGAACGACATTTTTTTGTATTAAATGCTTTAGGTAACCGATTTAGGAAGTCATCAATACAAGAAATCGAACAATAGTTTAGACACGCTACCACATACTAAAAATCCCAATTACATTCCACATCATTACGCAAAAATAAAACCATTCTCCTTTGCCTTTTACAATCCATATACTAATACCATCCCTTCTGCAAAAAATGCTTCGTATTCTTGCAATGTTAATCATGTGAAGTTGACAGAACGTTTATATACCCGGTCTCTTCCACGCTGCTTTTATCCCTGCACGGTTCACTCTTTTCAAAAGAATGAAACTGATTGCAGTTGTTCTTCTTTAAGTACCAGTCAAGATTCGGCAATTTGCATGCATGATAATTTTTACGATTATCTTACTATGCCAGATGAGTCTTATAATATGTCCCTGTCCGTGGAACAAGCTGATTCTGGTGTTGACATGTCAGACACAGGATCCTTTTCTAATATAGTACAAGTAAATGATGCATACAATAGAGTGTTACAGCAAAATGGTTTTCCTGCTACGTCTACTATGTTGGATATGCATACTATATCTTCATCTTCGCTAGCATCTGATATTAAAAAGATTGAAAATAATACGTTTTCTGACTATGGAAGTGCATATGCTCAATCAGAATCATGTAACTTTCAGTCATCGACATTATGCAAAAAGAAAGTTACTCAATATCTGAATAAGCAGTGTCCTAATCGGGAAACACATTTATTAAAATTTTGTAAAAACGTGCAGTGTACAAGGAATTCCTTCTTTTTTAACAAAAAAATCGTAACGCCTAAACGGTATATTAGATGGCGAAGAGCTAAATCCTGCATTACGATTCATAAAATTAGCTCTCCCGAAAAGTTCAAATTCAAAAAAAATCGTTCTCATCCTAATTTATTAAAGGAATATGATTCAGAACTCAGTGATTCCATTTTTTATGATTCAGCCGCGCCGATTACGAATAACCGTAGTTTCTTAGATACATGTAAATTAAATTCATCTATTTTGTCGAGACTAAGTCATTTCAATTTCCATCCAGTATTTAAACAGTACGTTCTTCCGAGCCCATGCAACCAAAATCCAGAAACTCAACAAAGACAAAAATACACTCCGTTACCTAGTCCTCTTCCTGTTCCATCTAATGTAGCAAAATTATGTAATTTGGATTCAAGGAGCACATTCACCACAAACGAACATTTTTCAAACATTTCTTCTAAAAATTACGCTCTGAACGTTGATCATGAGAAACTGGATAAACAAAAGGAGAAACCGCAATCTTCGGTACTTCTACTTTTTATAATGGGGTATACTGTCTCGGTTATGGAATAGAACAAATTATTTGCTCCAGTAAATCCAAGTAGACGTATTGGGTAGAAATGTGAAATGGCTGTTTTATTTATAAATTATTTGACTATCCCTCGTGTTTCGTCTCAGAGAATTGTTTGTCCATGTCATTCGTGATGTACTGTACTGTATTTTGTAATTCCAGCCCTGGTGGTAGTAACAGTCTGTAATTACAAGTATGTTCTACATACTATAACACATCACCTTGTTCTCGTCTTAGAATAGAAGAAACTAATATATTCCACAATACATAATACCATTATATCCCTACTACTGACCACTAGAAGAAACTAATAAAATTGACGTTCTATGTGTCTCGATATAACTATGTTAAATTAATTGTGAATAACGTATTTTACGATACATTATTATCGCAGGTTGTTGACGAATCAAACGTAAATGCATTACCAGATTTAGCTTCTGTGAGAGCACATATTGTGAAAGCAGAATGGTTCTGGACGTCTGTGCAAAACGAAGGTGCAGCTGATGAGAAAGAATATCTGTTTGAAGATGTAAGTCTGCTGAAATCGTTTCACAATTCTCTCATCTTACATTCGTTTATTGTTTCACATTTAGTATTTGGAGTCCGTTTTATCACCAAATGTATCAGCTAGACGTGACAGTCAACAAGCTGCTACTCCAAGTACAGCGTCTACAAGACGAAAACGTAAACGCTTAGCAGAAACCATATCTAGTCTGGTTCAAAACGGTGCTGATTCCCCGGCATTACACAAGAGGCGATCCAGCATCAGCGATGCAGGGCACCTCAGCGTCAGTGGAAGTTTCCTTGATTGTACAACAAGCCCAGATAAGCCATTACTCGATGGTTAGTTATTTATCAGATTACTTTATTATTTCCTTTTCTAATTCTTCTCTTTTGTCTAACTATCACTTTAATGTAATACGTTTCAATCTTTTTAACATGCCTTATTTTATCTTCCCTTCCTTTCTGGTTCATTTCTTTTATTCTATACTATGTAACAGCGTTAATTTCTACTTCTTTGTATTCTTAAATTTTCTTTAACACGATTCTACTAACGTGTCGTGTGTACAAACAACAGTTTTCACTATAACACTCTTAATTATACGTATTAATAATTACTATGAACCATGTGAAAGGGGAGATAATAAAAGTTGAATAATTAATAAATATTAGATATTCCAGAAGTGGAAGCTGTTACTACAGATAGCTCTAGGAAAAATTTGTCACCGCGTCACCAAGTTTTTTTAGAATTAGTACAAACGGAATCGAATTATGTCGGTATTCTCAGTACAATTATGACGGTAAGATTCGTTTCCTATACCGCGTTGAAACAAGCCGTCGACAAAGAATAAGTGAGTGCAGTTTCATGTGATGTTGTTTATCTTTCTAGTTGTTTAAGTCTCCGTTAGAAGAACTCATAGATACGAGCGGCGAGTTATTAAATTGTACGGAAGCTAAAATTATATTTGGTAACTTCCCGCCGATTTATGAAGTGCATAAAAAAATGTTGGAAGAATTAAAATACAGTGCTACTCACTGGATGGAGGACATTAGCATAGGTAATATATTTCTGAAGTACGCACCTAATCTACTCAAGGCGTATCCACCGTATGTCAACTTCTTCGAAAATACTAAGGAGATGCTCGACCAATGTGATCAAAATAAACCACGATTTCACGCTTTTCTGAAGGTTTGCCAGACGAAACCTGAATGTGGTAGACAAAGCTTAAAGGAGCTATTAATTAAACCAGTACAAAGGTTACCCAGTATTAGTTTGTTATTAAATGGTAAGCTGCTCTGACACATCGATTTAATTATTTATATGATGAGTTACATTAGATGCAGCGTTCACGCATATTGCGTGCGTTTCAGATATTCTTAAACACACAAACAAGAATAATCCAGATCACAGTGCATTGGAATTGTCCATTAGCAGTATTAAAGAAGTTATGACATACATAAACGAAGATAAAAGGAAAACGGAAGGCCAATTAGTTATGTTCGACATTTTCAACGAAATTGACAATTGCCCACCGCATTTAGTTTCTTCACATAGATCATTTATCGGCAAATGCGATGTGATGGAACTTGGCGAAGGTTTGAGTGGACGCGGTGATCATTTAGTTCTGTTTTTATTTACTGATACTCTTGAGATATGTAAGAAGAGGTCGAAGGCTTTTAACTCATTGAAAAGCCCTAACACAGCAAATGGATTGCACACGAATAAGTTAAGCCAGGGGAAACCGTATAAACATATCAAAATGTTATCATTAAGTACAATAAAGAAGGTTGTGGATATTCGAGAAACTGATGGTAAGCGAACATTGACATACAATGTTGTAAAGCGCATCTGCAATATCTCGTATATTTACAGAATGTCATAAAGTGTTTGCTTTAATGGTGAGGAGTAATCAAGAGTTAAAAGAGAAATTATATTCGTTTACGATCACGGATGAGGAAGTAAATAAAACAAACTATTTACGGACTTTGTGCAGACAAATGGCCAATACAGTGTGCAAAGCTGACGCAGTAAGTCCTTTTTGTTTTTAAAATGAGTTTCAATGGATATTCGATTTTGTTAGATTGTGAGATATTCTCATTATTTGCACTTTGTTAGCAATAGCGTTCTTTTGTCATGTATAGGATACGTTCCTGATAAGTCTTGACTCGCATCAACTTGAGATTGACACGAGCGATGTAGCATTAGGGACATTAAGTAAAGCATTTAAGTAAGTAACTGGAATTTAATCGATAGCTGTTCTATGTTGTACATTTTTTCTGTTAACTATAAGCTTAATTTATTACATTAAATATAGTTGGTAACGAAGTACTTAGGGTTCTGTAAGACATTTTTAAATACACGATTTTTGTAATTAGGTAGAAAAATTTAATGTGAGAAATCAATAATGAATAGCATAATTATCTTTAGATAAAATCATAATGCATTTCTTTTATTAGTATCAAGTTTTATTAGATTATATATCCATCTTAGATTATTGAAATAAAGAAAAAATTTTGAATTTTTATTAGATGAAGTAGTAATTTTTTCGAAAGAAATTTGTATGGGGAGGAATTAGGTGTTCTAAACTGTTTTTTTCCTGTATTGCATGTTAACAAAAAATAATGGGGCGACGACTCATTTGGTTGCAGGAGCCTATTTCATAATTTTTACCTGGAGTATATGGACCCGTATGTGTTCCTACTCAATAGCATGTGTGAAACCACGTTACATGTCCCACTACCGTCAGTTTTCGCACAAGGCTGATTATATTTTTTTTATTCGCTTCGATCCTTCACTCCGCTTATTCGAATCAATTAGTGTCATATTTTTCTATTTGTTAAAGCAAAATTAAATTGCTTTATAAACAGAAATTATACCAGTTCAAGCGGATTTTTAATAATATCAGCCTGTGTAAAATCATTAAAATTATATAATGTATTTGTATGTTCATACATTTTCACATCTCTTAACGGCTGTATTTATGCTAATTCTTGCATTATTATACGATGAATATGATCAATTTAATAGTATCTGTCGTCGAGAGGTACTTTTAGGAATATATATGTATATCCTTGATACAACTGTAATCTCTTGTATCATAATACAGTATTAATCTATCTATCTACTCTTGCATCTGTAAAGTAGATCTGCATTTGTGATGTATCTTTCCTCCGTAATTAAGCATGGAAACAAAATTATTAGAACGCAATTATTGCATGTACATTGAATATGATTATTATGATGATATTTACTTGAACTGGTTTTATTATGGTTTGGGGTTTTATTTAAGTTTGCTAATTCCTCTGTTTGCTAGAAAATTTATTTTTCTCTGTCTGACAACGTATCAAAATGACCGCAGTACTTGGAAAAGAAACTAATTTTAGTTTAGTCAGAAGCGTCGAAATATCAGAGAAAAATAAAATTTCAATATCCTCGTTTCTTCGTCAAATAATGTACTTAAATTTAAATAAATCTTTGCAACAACCGTTTTTCTTCAGGTTCGCCTCTAGAACAAGGATGAAAGTCGGCAGGGCGTTCAGTTTTAATAAAACTCCAAGTAAATTGAAGAGAGCGATGTCGACAATGATGTCGCCGTTTGGTTCAACCAACAGTCTTACCCCAGCAAGTCAACAGCTTGCACAAATGCGGCTCGCTAGTTGCAACAATATTAACGTTAGTTGACAGTTTTTTATCGCATGCATTTTTTTTACTACATGCTTATGCTTTTACGTATTGCTTCTTGCTTACTTTCATTTCACGACAGGAGATTGCTGTCTTTGTTATATTGGTTAAAATAGATTCGATGTTTTAATCGAATTTTCCTCTTATTCGCGTTGATTCTCAATACTAATTTCTGTTAGTTTTAATAAAATTCTCCAAAGTGCATGACTAGAAAATTATGCTTTTTCACTCTTGTATATATATCTTGATAAGATAATATTATATGAATATTTCGTATTGTAACATTAAAAGAAATTCTTTCCATTTTTGCTCCATTTATTTTAAAATATGCAAAAATTAAAAATATTAATTTATTGTATGTACATTATTATAATACATTCATTATGGTTATTTTAATACGTTGATATATTTGATTTTTCGTTAGTTTGTCCGCCGCTTAAATCTGCGAATTATTACTACTCTCACTTTTCAGTAGATTACTCATAAATTATTAGTGCATATCTAATCTCATTATGTACTACGTAAGTATGTGGTGATGCGTATAACAGAAAATATTTGCTAAATAATTTAATACTGAAACACTCATCGCTTCTCGTATTACTGAATATGGTTATACTTGAAAATACATAATACATATCAGCTTCTGCCACAACTTGACATAGAATAAGGAATAAGAAAAATAAGTTGAAATATGGAGTAATGTTTCTTCCTGAAAAACATGCTATGACGCACATGTAATGTAAAAAACGCGAATATAAATAGATGAAGCGGATTCTGAGGAAACAGCCTTCACATTTTCGACTTAATTTTTCATTTAAATGTATTGCTCGGCAGTTCGGAGATACTTTGCATAGGAAACATCGATGTTCTTTAAAATTTCCTCTTGTGAAAGGGAGTAGGGAAAGAGGGCAAATAGAATTCTATTTTTCAACAGATAAAATTCGTTTTAGGAACGTGACGTCATGTGTTTTGACTGGATCAAAATACTTCGCAAATTACGTTACAAATTAGATAAATGCGAAGATATACATCAAAGCTGAATCAATCTTTCATTTATATTTTGTTTTTCTCTTTTTGTATTTTTTTTCACATTATGCTTTACAATAAACGTGTTGAAATTGAAATAGGAGATTGATACATTGAAGCCTTCTATATATGTAGCTTGTTAATTTTGTCTACGTACATATTAAACTGTGAAATATTTGTCAAGCCAAAAGCGATAAAAATTTTTGTCGGTTTCCAGTTTCAGTTAAATGTGTATCTGAATTGTTTTTTGTGTGTCCAGTATGATGTACTGTTTTATTTCGTTGTAGTAGCAGTTCTTGATTGTGTGATATGAAAAGGATAAATGGATATTCGTATATCTTTCCAGGAGCTGGGTAATGGTGGTTCCGGCTCACCATCTAGAGATGATGTTCTAGTAGCACCTATGTCGGTTCAGCCGACAAGAAAGGCCAAATGCAGTTCCCTCAGTATGGCTTCGTTGAGAAGGTTGTAATTAGTATTTCAAAACCGATGCAATTCTCTATTCTGCTATTGTGTCATTGCATAACATGTTTGGTCAATTTGTCCATTGTCCACGTGCCTTAAACAATTTCCGTTTTGTGTTTGTTCGGCTGTTGAGAAACTACATTTACGAATATATGCGTGATTCATATACGTAAATAACATTGTTTTATTATAAATTGATACGTTCATATTCGCACGAATATGTGTACGCACGAAATCGCGTAGCTTCTAATGAATACAAAAAGACTGGATTAAAAATTCTAATTATATTTATATGTATATTTATAACGATGTAAATTCTAACGCNTATTGTGTACAACATCTAAATAACTCAAGATTTTGTCTCAAAGAGGCAGATCAAGTTGGATATAAAATAAGGTAACGGACATTTACATTTCCAGTGATATAATTGAGAAGTTCGTGGCAAAAACAATACTCTTAAAAGAAAATTACGAAATTTGTACTCTTTAATATAAATCAATAATAGTTGGCAAATTAGCACCATTTTAGTAATGTAATGAACACTTAAAAAATGATTTGAGTCTATTTAAGAATATCTTTTCCGAGGAAATATAAATGATAGAGAATTTGTTTGCTACGAATTGCTCAATCGAACAAAAGTTTGTACATGTATAAATTTTATAAGAAATGAGAATATGAATGTTAATTTTTGTGCCATTCAATTTTGTTCTGCGAAACATATAGAAC